GCTACGGTCCAAAAAACGCAGTGCCATTATAGCAGACTAAAGAGAATTTGCTGAGATATTCTATTTAGATCAACCTATGAATTTCATTCTCTTAAACTTAAATTAAAGTTAACTTGGTATTTTTTTTATTTATTCGTTTTATTCTATAATTCATTCTCGCATTTTTTTCTAGTGGAGTAGTCGGCTCCTTAACCAGTCTTGCATCCAGTTTGTCTCGTAATCTGGATCAAATTTCTTTGAGCACTGAACGGGGTCACCATCTTGTGAACCATCACAAACTCCAGCTTCGAATGACCCATAATCTGCCTAAAACATTGGATTCTGCTTCCAGTACTTATACTACCCACCTGAATAACCAGATTCAAGACTCTATCCCTGTTCAAATCTCAAACCTTTCGACAGACTGCTATTCATTGGATCCGAATCTGGCTATGGATTCAAAAGTTGTTAGTTCCAGTGATGCTAAAGAGCAAACAGTAATGTCGAATGCGGATGGCCTAATTTCAAATTTAGGTCTCGGTCTTGCTGGCCTCGGGCTCAGTTTGCTTGGCGGGTTAGCCGGCCTGGCTAACGAGCCACTGCAAGCGATATTCGAGGTGGCCAATCGTAAAGAATCCGAGCATGCTCAACAAGAGGCAAAAATGTTAAAATATTCGACAGAACATCTTCATACACTGGAATCGGCTAATGAGAGCATGACTGAAGGTGAGGCCATCAGCTAGCTATTACCAACTCTTACTTTTTCACATAATAAGAGTATCCAATAATTTGTATGATTTTTTTTCCCTTCATCTCGATTTCCTTCGGTAAATAGGACATTTGTTATTTTTCCTTTCTTAAGAATGTCTTTAGAGGCTAAATAGATCTAATATAAGAGTTGTATTCACCCTATTTCGTTTAAGGCAACCTAGGACGGGTAGTTTAATTTTTCCTCTGATATGTATAGGCCTTCTGTTGAAATTCACATAGCCATGCTCCCCAGAAGGTTTTCTCATCCACTTTCGATTTCGTCTATGTCTCATCCTCAACTCCAGTGTAGCATATAATCTAGACACACTGGCCACTATGCAATACTGCCACGAGTGCACTTGGGTCACAAGACATCTGTGAATTTCAAAGAAGACCAGGCAGTCCACTCTGGATGAGAATACCTTTTGGGAAACAAGGCTATGGGAAATCAAATAGAAATGTAAGGCCTGCTCATATGATTGTGGGAAAATTCAAGTATCCGTCCTTTGTCACCTTAAACAAAGTAGGATTAATATTAATCTTATATTTGCTATTTTTAGTTGTATGCTTTCAAATCTGGGAATATGATTTCATGTAAGTAACAGTTTAATTTGCTCCCTTAGTTATTTACATAGTCATGGATGAAAGTTACTGGTGAGGATAACTTACGGCTACTTAGGTAATCTCTTGATTTCATTAGAGCAGCTCAACTATTTACGTCTGATTGATTACTAAGTGTCGCTAATCTTGTGCATAAGTAATTAATTATCAACTAAATGTTTTCAGAATGAATATTCTTCTCACTGTCTATTTTTTCCGATTTTTTAAAATTAGGTCTTTTATATAAAATTGGTTCGAGTTTCCGTCATACTTTGCACTAGATCAATTTTGCCTTAGTTGTATAGAGGTATACAACGAAAGGAGACTGCGACCACACAGAAGGCCACACCATCTTGGTCTTCATGCCTTAGTTGTTTTGCAATTCAGCTCTATGCCGAGGTCTTATTCTTCGGGCTTCTTCTCAACCTTATAAAAAATAAGCGAAAAATTGGACAACTTAATTGACTACTTTTTTAAGTGTTAAATAAGTGCATATTACAACAACTAGACCCTGGCTACTTAATCTTCTTTACCATAGTGCATTATCTACTTTCTTAAGAATTTTTTTCATGTTTACCTTTACTTACGCTATTCTACAACTATATTTAGATGTTTTTTATTTTCTTTAATAATAAGATAAAAGCCTTTAATTAGCTTTAGTACGAGTTCTTTCATCAACCCGACCATCCTTTATTATCTTCATTATGGCATCTTCATAATTTACAAATAAAATTTTTCCAACTCCAATTTGACGAGTTCAGTTTTGAATCCTATAGGAAAATTAAGTCTGAAGATTGTAGAACTTAAATTGTATAGATATAAGATGTACAAAGCTAATTAATTTCCGGGAAAAAGTGAATGAGCAAAAGGATATAAATGAACCATGTGCCTAGAACAAGGTAACCAGCACAGCTTGATGGAATTGTCTAACTAATTTTGGAGACGTCAATAAATGGAACGATGTGGAGGCCCAACGTGGACAAGTAGCGTTGATCTGATGTCTGTTTCGTGGAAAGTTGCATTGCTTGTGAGGAATAAGTATAATCTTATAAATCCGGGCACAACTAAACGGTCGTTGGAGGACTTTGTCTGGGACGTAGGCACCTGCTGATCTCGGTCCTCATTACGTTTACGTTAGACCGACGTGTACGATCGCAGATGCAGAGGGAAGGGGTGGCATATAATAGTGTGGTTTAATTGACTATAAATTCTGCGAAAGGTTCCAGGCTGAAGATGAATGGCCTGATAATGTGGCACGAAATAGCGACGCACGATTATGAGGGTCGTTCGCCTTAAAGAAGATTGCCCTGGAGAAGTCGCTTAGTTCGGAGTCCTTGTCTAAGCCTTTACGTGTTTTGAATTCCTGCTTATTAGTTCTAATGGTCCCTATCTGACAAGCCCGAAGGTAGACTTGATGCAATGCTGAGATTTAAGTGATCTAACCGAAAACACAGTAAGGATATTTCCAAGTGGTTCTGGGTAAAGTACGAAAGCTGCTCCTATATTTTAACGGCGCTATCGGTTGTAGTGAGGACAAGTAGAGTTAAGCCACTCTATAATCATCAAATAGCTTTATTTAGTTATACGATGTGCCAATTCTTTTATAGAATTAATAGGATGGCAATGTTAAACTAAATACTTATCTTTGCCTTACTATAAATTCTAAATTATATTTTCAAAGCCTGCATTTTTATTAAATGAATTTTACTTTCAGTCAGCCTTCAACCTAATCGTTTTTGATCGGAAGGTCCCCAAATATTGTTGAGTTTATTTTGATTTACTTCCATATACTTAGCTCGGTTGCTTCATAGTTGTCCGATCAAATAAATGGCAAACTTACAATAAATTTATTCTCAAAGTAGTAAATTTTGAGGTTTTAATTCTTATAAGTTTTAACATCAGGGGCATGATAAAAAGTCATTCACTAACTTCTAGCCTGTGAATCATTCAAATTTTATAGAAGTGTTATTAATGCACATAGTTTAGTTCTCATAAAGGCCTTTGCTTATGTTATTTACATGTTTATTTGTACTCTTAGTTCTTTAATATCCTTGTTATGGTGGAGTTTGGCTTATGTGCATACAGCATTCGGCAATAAGTCTATTAATGCTATTTTTATAAGTGTCACTTTCTTTCCCAGGGTCGTTAACGTGCTGAGTTTCTCCTATTATCTGTTGGTACATGAGGAAACAACTTGGATCTATTTAGAAACTTAGTAGCATCTGTTATTTCAAGATTATTTTTCACAAATCTGCTTATCTAATGACTATGCACTAATTACATATCTGGTTAACTTTTTTCTGCGTCTTAGTTACTATCCTAAATAGTACTTACCATCTGTGTAATAGCTCTATTTACTATTTATTTTATGTAGGTCCATCCTATTAATATTATTCTGGGAAAATTAAACTACCAGTCTTTCACTACCTTAAATGAAGTAGAGTAAATACAGCTCTTACATAAGATCTAGTGGTAGTTTCCAAATCTACTGATAAACGAAAATAAACATTTTAGTATATTGTAGTAGCAAATACAGCCTTGCTTCATCGAAAATCTCTTCACGGAAAGTGATATGGGAAAGCCTTGATCTTCCTTATAATTCACTTTTGTCCTGTGACCTAAAGGCACCAAGATTATCAAGATTATTCACTCCACTACTCAGGGTTGGGTCCTGATAGTATGATTAATGAGACCTAGGCGAGGTTGTAACTTCAGTACACGCTTGAGTACAATAGATTTGGGAAAGAAAGGCTGTGCGACTTTCTTTGGAAATTTGAGGCCTATTCACATCAGCGGAAAAATTAAACTATCAGGCCTTTGTCATCTTAAAAAAAATAGAGTGAATACTTCTCATATATATGATCTACTAGTAATCTCGATATCTACTTTAAAAAATACTCACTGTGGCGGTTCTACCTCGTTTTCGCAACTTGGTCGGAGCGTCAGGGAGACCTTGTGTGACGTACCTAGTCCTTTATCCTCTGCCATAGTATTCGTGATTTCCAGCATCGGACCGTTGACTTGGTATGTTTCGTTAGCATCGTCATTGAGAGGTTCCATTGTCATCTCAGTTACAATTTATCATAGTGACAAGTGAAGAGAATCCCCTCGACCAATTTTCTGTTTTATCGTGGGGCATCCCTCCTTGTTCCTATTTTTGTTCTATCTTCCTGTGCTGCATCTCTTTCTCTCAACCCTACTTCGTATGGCCCATCTACCTATTCACGCAATTCTGTGAGTGAGGGTCAGGAACTCTGCAAACGACACCTGGTACCGGTGAGGGAGATGATTAAGATACTGGAGGGAACGAGAACAAAAATTTTTAAATAGGTTATTTACTCTGCCAAATAAGGTTTTTCTGTTCGGTTTATCGATAAGGCATCCTAATCATTTCTATTAAAGCTAGATTATTGTAAGATTTAATTTAGTGATACCTCTCTGCAGACATCGATGCACACCAGTTATATTATGCTTTTCTTGGATATTTGCTTTTCTTTCGCACCTCTTTCTTATCCTTCAACCCTATATTTTCATCTTTCCATAGCTTCTACTCGGTTAACACTTGTTGCCATGACATATTTGCGTGCTGCCATCTTCGGATTCACTCGTGGTCTCGTCGGGGCCGTGGCTTTGCCCCTGTCCGGCGCTGCCGATCTTGTTGCCCAGACTGGTGAACGTCTAATGCGCGATTCTGGAATTGGATGTGCTTCTTGTCAAGAGCGAACTAGGCTTGGAAAGTAAGGTTTAATTCTGGATTTATGTTCTATTTTAAATAGCAAATGTTATAAGATTCCTTGTTAATGCACTTGTGTCTTGTCAAAAAAAAGAGAAAAACTTTTAACATGGTTATCTTTTTCCATCGATACTACAATTTGGTTTTTTGGGTAAACTTTTGTTGAGCTCTTTGGAGGAAATATCGGGTGCAATATTGTATTTTAACAATTAGTAATTCTATTTTTATTTTATTTTTTTATTTTTTAAATTTTATTCATTTTTCTTTGTATTTTCTGTTCTTGCATACAGCAAATTTCAATAAGTATGACCGACTTTAATAGCATGATGACTCCATATATTTTGCGTTTTTCTCTCAAGATCATTTTCTGGATGGAAATAAAATTAATCTAGAAGTGCTATCACATAATTATGCCTCAAATCGAGCGAGAATTCAAAAATGGTCGGCAGTTTAAAATATCATTACTTTTCCTTTATCAGAAACCAGCCATCTGGATAAATGACCTAAGACTTGAATCTAGAAATCTTGCATTCTTCATCTGCCTCTGGAGCTCAAAATTCTGTGTAATATCTGGCTTACATCTTCTTGTGTTTTCAGACTCTTCGGAGCTTCAACAGAAGCTTATTTTTAAAATGAAGAACTGTATTTTTACCCTTTGTTATCAACTTAATGTCGAAACCACTTATTAATAGTGTCTAAAAGTTTGTAAATAGCTATTTTGTATTCTATTAGATTGTTAATCTATTACGCAAGTACGTCATATAATTTTACTTATTTGGAAGTTCCTTTGTCCAAAAATGATTAATATTTTTTTAGTGGTTGTTTGACCTTGTTTTCGCAACATGGTCATATTGGTAGGAAGACTCATTGGAACGC